TGTCTGAACGCATCGATGGCCGAGGTGCATCTGAGCGGCCTCGCAGCGTGTGTGCAGAGATGCTTCTTGGAGCCACCGCCGTTGGCCAAGGGATGGGGGCAGAGGCGATAAAGGTGTACGCTGCTTTTTGTAGCTGCTGTATGGATCATAGTGAAATGCCATAGAAATACATAAAGGTCAATGCTGTCGGCACGCAGCGGTCTCTGAACTGTTCTGGGGCCTGTCTGCCAGCGTCAGGCACTGCTACAAACCAGCTAACTAGAACGAGAACTCCTGAAGTGGTGGAAGTTTGGCTTGACAGCTCTTTCCTTTCCATAAAGATGGAAGTAGTCAAACATGAAACATAACAATTTCTAGATTGGCAGGTATCGAGAAGCATCAGGTTGGGAATAAGCAATTATCCATCTTCCCCATCAGTAACTTTTTCTTTTTTTTTTTTTTTTAACTGGCACTGCAGTGTTTTTCGGAGAGAATCTCCTCACTTGAGCTTTGACACCCCTACCTGCTCCTAATTAAGCACGAGCAGTTTGGATTCCAGCACGCTGACACCAGCTGGTTGGTGCTCACGCGTTCACCTGCCCTCAGGCAGTTTTCATCCCGGCTCTGGTCCCCAGTGGAGCCCAAGCTGGTGCTGTGGCTCTTGTACCAACCGCCCTCTCGCTTGCCTACTCCTTTTATCTCATGGTTTCTTTGCTTTAGGAAACTAGGTGGAGATTTAGAACAGAAGCTGAGGAGGGCCTTACCTCCAGGAGCACCGTCCTTTTGTTTGTACTTGGTGTGTACAAAGCTGCTTCTGTTTATTTGCACAAAGTATTTTATAAAAAAAATCAAAAAAGATCAGAAAAGGCTTAATGCAAGAGGCTGAAGAAAGTTGCCTGCTAGGTCCTGATAAGACTCACAACTATATCTTATCAGTCTTTATTTTTACAAGTCCATAGTGCAAACACAAGGCAAAAAAACATACAAAATCAGGGAGGTGCTTCTGCGTTGAAGGGAAGCGATTATTCCCTGCAGACGAGGGGAGGGCTCTGCCCGGAATCTCCTCAGAGGGCCACAGCTGAAGCACAGGAGTCAGCAGCCACAAGTTGCGAGAGGGGAAATTCTCCTCGGACATAGTGAAAAACCTTCCTGACAGTAACGAGGTGAAGCGCTGGGACAGGCTGCCCCGGCGGGGGTGTGAAAGCCCCGTTTGAACACCCTTGGGATACTCCTCCCTCAGGCAGACACGGCCCTCCCCTGAGCATGATCTTACACTCGGGCTCCTTCCCAAGCCCTGGCCAAGCCCAGATTTTTTTTTCTCGTTTTGTCATGTCTTTCTCCTTTTCCCCTTTTAGTTTCTCAACTTATTTGCCTCTTCCTGACTCCTTTGCTGTAACTTTCTCGACTCCCCTCCCTCCTGTTGTCCCTCCTCAGAGCCCCTCGTTACCCTGCTCTCCTGCTCTGTCGCTGCACTCTCAGCAAGACAAAGTGCCGAAACCCAGACCGACAGCTTTCAGCTGCTCCTGTAAGCACGCCTGCAGCAGTGGCAAAACGGGCACTGCTTCTGCAGGATGGCTCGCCTTGATAGGCTACAGCTTCTAGTCACTTCTTCAGGGGTTCAGGTCTAATACTAAACATGAAGGATTTAAAAAAATATATATACCCAAACCATCTCTTACCTACCCTGACATTAGACATTGTCTATATCATCTTTACCTGTCCCCTACGATAAGACGAGAAACATATTGGCAGTTTTTCATTGACTGGCAGCAGTTTACCAAAATTTCCATTTTTATTCATCCTTGCAAAGGGATGTTGCTGTATTACATCTTAGTGCCCTTGCGTGTACTGCTGAAAGTAAAGCATTATGGCAACACCGCTGATCAGCCAGGAGAAGCAGGACCAAGGGCGGAAATTCCCTTCTGTAATTTCCAGTGGTTCAGGACACCTTTCACAGAGCAAAGGGCGGGAGAAGGCACTAGTTTAATGGAGGAAGGCCAAACAGAGATATGATAATTGCATAAAGCCTGATGATTAAATACATAATAAATCCCAAGCATCATAGTTCGACAGGTAACTTGCTCAATACCTCTGGAGCTTTAGAGGCTCTGATGCAATTCAGTGCTTTCACGCAGATCAACATTTGCGTGACTGATAGAAATCTTTATCTAAAGGAAGAAGCCAATTTTCACTAATTGTATGTTGTGCTTCGTAAGGAACGGATCTAGAAACACTATTGAATGACATCGGGTTGATGTAATTATGGACAAATTATATGCCTGCTGGGAGAAACAAACCTCTGATCTATCGAGAGTGCAGGTTATGAGGAGCCCGGTGCATCTCCGTGAACATCCCCACACCCATCCTTGGGCGCTTGCTTCAACATACATGCAGGGGCAGAATAGCTGGTGCTCCGAGGACAGCCTTCTCTCTTCCAAAACTTAACCCTGATAGCAGATTTAAGAAGAGAGTTAAAATCCTCTATGTAGAACGATAGCAGTGGAGAGGAGAATAAGAACTTATTTCATTGTATTTTCTCTCCCCTGCCCAGCCGAGGGGGGCAGTGACAGAGTGGCTTTGATGGGCACCCGCTGTGCAGCCAGGGTCACCCCATCACATCGTCAGAACAAGAAAGAATTAAAAGCTGCCTACCAAGCCAAGCTCTAGATTACATTAGATCTGCTTTATCACAGCTCTGTCGCCCTTCCAATCTGAGTTTCTATGTGCCTTTAGGCATAATAAATGCAACAAAAAAACCATTTTGACTAATACATTTCTGACCGTTACAGTCATCATGAAGTGCCACTTTTCAGAGTATGTTCTGCAAAGCGGGAGAAGAAGGGATCACCTGAGAGGATGCAATATGCGTCTCCTGCAAGGGATCGAGACCACCAAGTGTGGTTTGCAGACAAAAGGGAACCTGCTTACGAAAAGAGGTCATGTGATTGGCTAGGGTCTAACACTCCAGCATCTTCACCAAAAAAAAAAATTGAGAACCCACTGAAACAGAGCCTGGAGCTTCTGGTTTTCTGTAGCCTCCACCTCATTGCCTCTGTGCCTGTCAGTCAGTGCTTCCCCACTGCTGTGCTGGGGCTGAGAGCTTCCCAGAGACATACAGAGCTCAAAGAAGATCTGGGGAAGGAGAGTGTCTGGGGCCAAAACCCCCTGCCTGAGCAGCAACGTGTCTCCCAGTACTAACAAAAGAGGGTTTGCACTTAAATGCTTAATTCAGAAAGAGGAGAAGATGATACTATTACTTGGCAATTATGAAAAGAGTTATATGTGGCATTTTCTGGATTTTAACAACTGGTAGAGAAGAATAAAGGTGGAGAAAAAAAACCTAGCACTTAAACAGTTCATTAGAAGTTCAGTTTTAGGTGGGGTGAAGGTATCTGTGAATTCAGCTGAAACATGGTGAATAGTTTTGTCTAAAAATCAAAAAAGAATAATTTAGAAAACATGAAGCTGCTTTTTTTTCCCCCTCATGTTCTCTGCTTGCACAAGTTGATCTAAAACAAACAAAGCAAACCCTACAAAAAAAAAAACAAACGAGGGGAAAAAAAGAGGAGAGGAGACAAGAAAGAAGAACTAAGTGACATGAAGTAGTAAAAGTTTTAAGTTGGCCAAGAGAACTTACTGACTGAAGGTTTTAGCATTTGATTACTCTGGACTAATTAGCACATGAGTAATACAACTGGCGTTCTGTCCTGGATTACTGGAAGACTGGCTTAAAAATGCCCCTCAACACCTGCTTCTTTGGGATTGCAAAACAAAAACCCAACACGCTGGTTTTTAACAGCCGTCAGTGAACACCACTGAGTGACGACTGAGCCATGGACACCAGCCCTCCCAGCGCAAGCGCTGCAATTGCTTCAGCTTTTCAGCCCCGCACGGCTGCGTTACAGGGACTTTCCCACAGGGAGATCAGCTGCCCAAACCAGCCGGCTTGGACTTCTCTCTATCCAGGAGTTCTGCTCTTTTTCCAAGGAAACCGTCGACCTAAGTCCAACTCTTACAGGTTCTTTTTGTAACACAGCTGACATACTGCCTTTCTTCTCCTCCTATACCCTTAAAACTCCTTTTCTAGACTTTAGTCCTCACCCCTTGATTTTTGCAAGGTGCATTTGGGGGCCCTCACAAGGGCAGCCTTGCCCTACCTCTGCTAAGGAAGCCTCAGCCAGGGTCATTTTCCTCTCTTTCCACAAGGTTCCCCTTGGCTGC